TTTACTGGGACACCTTTATTTTTATTTGTATCAACTTAATTCCCTCCTTTCTAGACTAAAGATAAAAAAAAACAGAAACAGCATGTTTTCCTAACTTCTTGCGTCAAAACCCAATAAACTTCGTCTCTGCTTTCTCTTTCCTTCCTCTTTTCTTATCCCTATACTAACATAAAGCGAAACTGAGAAGAAAATCTTATGGTCCAAGGACAGGAAGGTTTGCTTGTTTTTTAAAACGAAAATTTCCACTTACTTGCATCGAAGATTTCAGATGCGCTGTACTCTTCGACAAAATATCCATTAAATATTGGTATTCTTTCAGGCCTCTTCATCATAAGTACCCTTGGAAGAAACTCGAGAAATACACTTCTCACATAGTCAGGCATTTCATGTGAGATGGCACTTCGGAAGTAAACGTTCACAATCACAACGGTTACCTAAATGTTTTATTTAATGGGTAATTATGACAGTCAGATCTTAAAATAAGAGAAAAATATATGACAGCTTACCACAACTGTTGTTATATTCAATACAAATGCCATCAAGAGATATTTCCCCATTAAAGGTATATTTGAAGTTGGAGGCAGAATCTGGAGCATGAAATTTAAGGAGTTCGCTAAAGAATGTACACGCTTACCTTTGAAACTAGCAAGAGGAACACTACAAGAGCCAAGAGTAAATTTATAGTCAGCGAAATCTTTTCTGCAGAATCTGCTGGTAGATAAAATGCCATCATTGAAAGAAAGGCCATAAGAACTGTTGGAATAATCAGAATAACAGTGTAAAAAAGTGTTTTCCTGAATAAGACTTGGCAAAAAGCAAAGAAATACAGGTATTTCAAAGAACACCTTCGAATAACGACATGAAAAACGATTTTGTTCTCCTTGGTTTCCTTCTTATTGATAAGATAGCCGGGAACGTCTGAAAATTTCAATTAACAGCAACGTCAATCCTAGGCAGCGTGACTGACAAGCTCACTCTAGGGATTAAAACATGAAAAATGATGCTAAAAGCGCGTTTGGCAACTATTTCGAATTTTTTCGCTCCCAGCGGAGGACTGGTCCAATGATATATAAG